TGTTTGTTGCTGTGGGAGTGTTCCTAACAGTCCTGTCTAATGTTAACCTCCACCGCTGTGCTTCTCTGTCAGGTACGTCTGGATCCTCAACAGTTTACTGAGTGGATCCATGAAGATTAATGCCTCCCCCTTGTTCCTGCACTGTGTCATCCTTCATGGGATACCGAACTTCGACGCCACAAGAGGTTAAACTCACACTGTTTACGGCTACACACTGCTGACGCAAAAAAAAAATCTTGAGCGAATTCAGACACAACCACATCAGAGCTGCAGCAGTAAACAAAATTGAGTCTTATCTGAAGTTTATGTTCTCTCTCTTTTTCCAATACATACATGCAGGCTCAGACAGACACACACAGAGGTTGTGTACATAAACACAACTGAGGAGAGGAACTTCCCGGTTCCCAGTAAAAACCATGGGAATCCACACATTTGCATGTTCGCATTTAAATTACTGTTTTCCCGAATTTCCCTGAAACAACAAAGGCTCTGGTCGCATCACGCAGCTAAAACCTCTTTCTCACAACAACAGCTTATCACACTTTAGCTGCGAGCAAAACAATCTGAGAAACTGCTCTTGAATATTGGACCCAACCGGCTCGTTATCGCATTTATTCGAGACTTCTTATGTCTTTCTTTTTTTTTGTCTAGTGTGCCGTCCCTACATCAAGGTCTACCAGGGAATGCAAGCAGTGTATTCGTCTGGAGTCTAGTGAGTAGCTCACACATGTGGTAAACTAATTTGAACATTATTGTGCACTTCAAAGAACGCTGGAATACTTTAAAGCAGTTTTTCTGTTTAAGCCAGTTTAGTGTTAATTTAAATTCCGAGTTACTGCTTTCTGTAAATATCTGTAATTGCTTCCAAACTGTGGCTCACTTTGACAGACTTCTCTGTTGTTTTAAAGTCACATTGGTCCAGGCCACAGAGACCGAGTGTGCATCAGCCTGGAGCCCGCCCAGCTCCTGAAGGGGGACATCATGGTAGGACAAAAAAATAAAAACAACACAAGCTGCATTTTTAGAAATAGTAATATTGGAAGTCATCACTGTGTTTTGTTTTCTCCCCCCTTTTGTAGATTAAATGCTACCACAAAAGTGACGTAATCGCAGAGCGTGAAGTTATTTTCCGGCTGCAGTTCCACACGGGAGCAGTGCAGGGTTACAACCTGATGTTTGAAAAAGAGGACATGGAGACTGCCAACAAAGGTAGATGTGTGAAAAAAAAAAAAAAAGCCTTGAGAGCAGGTCTCGACGTGCCGCCGCTAGTAAACGGCTTCTCCTTTGCTCCACGCAGCTTCTGCAAGACTCAGTCTGGACTTAATTTAGACTTGGCACTTTCAGACCGATCATCTTGTTTTCCTAAACATGTTACGTGTACCCAGAGAGTCGTACGCACCATTCATCTTTCCAGTTCTGAATGAAGCACGCTCACGGCATTCCTGTGTTTGCTGACGTTTCAGATTCCAGATTTCCAGATTATGGGAAAGTGGAGCTGGTGTTCTCCGAGGGACCAGAGAAGATCCCAGGTAGATTCTTAACTCTTCAGCTTTTTTTTTTAGGAAGTTGCTCGAGGGAGAGGTAGTTGGAAAAGCAGCGCTGGCTTCATTCTTTTTTTTTCCTTTGCGCTGTCCTGTGCTCTGGACTTCCCCCTCTGCCCCCTGGTGAGAGGGGATGTGGAATGCTGCAGAGGGGAAATGTAGTGTGAAGTGTGTGCTGACAGAGAGGTAAAGAAGCTCAGCATGTGCTGCCCCACAGGAGTGAAACTGTACGGGTCTATTTGTCCGTATGTGTGAGTTAAACACATTTCAGAAGTATAAGGATTCTAGGAGCATCATGGAAAACTAGGGCTGGGATTTTAACGCATTCATTTCAATGAACTAATTACAGAAGAAAAAACACGTAAAAAAAATATAGCACATTTAATCGCACCACATTTTTAAGCGTCAATACCGCAGTATAATAAGAAGATTAAAAAGCACTGATTTCCACTACTGTGCTGACGCTACTGCAGCCTAATGATCATCGTGCACTCGCACCGATGCGACCACTTGAAATTTTAATTTGCAAATGCCACCATTTTGGTTGCACTCTGGAGCCCTGATGCACACTGAGTGACGTCAGAAGAAAGTTTAGTGAACAGTGATGGAAGACGAGACCACGTTGAGCTTTTTTAAAAATTTCCCGATTGCAGCTTGGATAAGAGCGTGGTAAATTGTGCAAAAAAAAAGTCTTAAAATGCTGAATATAATCGCTATAATTCCACTTTGAGTTGCACAGATCTAGACGGATGAAAAGTGCAGATGAACAATAAACATTTTTGTTCTTTAAGTTCACCTTTATGTCTGTTCATTGATGCAGTCGTCAACCAAAATGTATTTGAATTGAAAAACTTTGCTTATTGTGCCAAATATTGCTATTTGATGAAAATGTGATTAATTCCAAAGCCTCTCATTAATTTTTTTAATTGTGTCCCACCACTAGAAAAGGATTCACAGTAAAACCCTGATTAAACTTGTTTTTATTTGTTCTAATTATCCCATAAAATGCTGTTTTTAAACAAATAATAAAACCTGCTTTCGTGCTAAGCTAAGCCTCATATTTAGCATGAAGGCATGAGACCATCTTCTCATCTCACTCTTGGCAGAAGTATTCAGGGAAACTGAAGCGCTGCACTTTTCTTTTATTTATTTGGTGATAATATATATTACATACCTAGATTAAGCCATCCCATAAATGTTATTCTTGGACCCAGGTGCTGACAGGTGGCAGAACGGAGCAGATGTTATCGTGGACTACAACACCGCGGATCCTCTGACCCGCTGGGACTCGTACCAGAACATCTGCGACGGTGAAGGTACTGTTGCTGCGCTACATGTCGGTTGCTGCAGGGCCAAGGTCGACCCGATGAATCAAACACTATCTGAGCAGAGATAACAGATTTGGAAACAGTTTATGTGGGATATTGTTTTGACCCTAGATGTAGCTCCCCACCTTTCTGTGCTTATTACTTTCCCAGCTTTCAATGTGTTTTCTCTATTTTTGCACTGACACACACACACACAGCGTCTCTCTGAGGGGAGTTAACATGGCGTTGAGGGACTGCAGCGTGATTGCTTTAACATCCAGTCACCGGTAGCTTATGTCGCAACGGTTATTAATGGGAATTTGCTTATGAGAGGAGCAGGCTGGCAGGTAGAGCTTCAAAAACAAGACTTTACTTGAGATTGCAGAGCGATGGAGTGTTGTTTCTGTGCGACGGCTTAGGGAGGGGTGTTGTTGTATGTAGGGAATGCTGGGTTCAGAGGAAGAGCAGTTAGTTCTCAAGAGATTTCTGTTTTGTTGTTTCATGAAATGAATAGGCATGCTTTAACCATCCCACACACACACACACACACACACACACATATATACTCACACTCAGAGCCACCCTGTCGGGGCGTCCCGTCCTCGCTGTGGTTGTTTCTCTCCACTCGACCACAGAATTCACAACAACCTCCCAGAATAGAGCAACGTGGTGGCGGCATTAAAGCCCAGATCCACCCTGTTCCACTATTCATTGAGTGTTTTTATAAGTTGGACTTGATGAAAATGAGCGGCTTCAACGTTTTCATTTAAAATACCCCAACAAATCCACATAGAATGCAATGAAAGTGCAGCCACTCGAGTTTAAGCGTTCATTAAAAGCAAGACAAAGACATCAACAAAGGAGCTTTCTTTTCTCTTGCTTTCTGTCTTTCTGCCGTGATTCCAGAGCATTCATGTGGGATATTTACAGCCTTGTTTTCTCATGTAAACACTACATCTGAGAGGGAAGACTCGGAGCTTTGTTGGAATTCTGCATGTACTTACCAGCAGCCCTCTAGCGGGCCCGGTTTGGCCGTCGCTCGGAGGCCGGTCAGGAGGAGGAAGTCTAGAAAACAGTTTTGCCACTGCGGTGCTAAAGGTTGTGAAAAGAAAACCTCATTTACTTCAATGGCTTGTCTTCAATTGCCCGAGTGTGTGTTTATCCCCACGTGTGAATTAAGAGTTGAATTTTAAAAGATTGTTTTTCCAGAAAAGGTTGTTTACTCGAGTTTATTGCCGAAGACAGTTGTTGTCTTTGTGTGGCGGTAAGTGGTGTTTAGGTAACGTCTGAGATGTCGCTTTGTTGTCTCTTTGGGATCTTTTGAGGAAGTTTCATTGGTTCAGTTTACACTAATTAGAAAACTAAATCTTTTTAGCTGTTTACAGCCACGCAGATCGTTTTGTGATACCTCGCTGTCAGATCTGCCACCGCAATACAATGCAGATGATTTAATTTATGAGGCTAAAAAGTATGATTTCTATTTATTTCCAGACGAGTTCATGGACCGTGCTGTCAGCAGTTTTTATGAGGACTATTTCCTTTTATTAAAATTCCATTAAAACTGGTCACGGCAGTAAATATCTAGACTCCAGATCATAAACTAGAATAAAAACTCTCCAAAAATTAGAGCCCATATTTAAAAAGGTGGCCACTTTAAAGACAATTAAACTATTTAAAAAAAAAAAATTTTTGTATTTTTTTTAAATATATTTTTTGGGCTTTTGCCTTTATTTAGAGCAGTGGAGAGAGACAGGAAAGGGGGGAGAAGAACGAGGGAGAGATCTGCAGCAAAGGGTCATGAGCGGGATTCGAACTCACAACCGCTGCGTTGGGGACTGTAGCCCCTGTTCATGGGTTGCCCGCTCAACCAGGTGAGCTATACGGGCGCCCCAATTAAACTATTTTAAAGAGAAATTCACAATTTTTTGATCACATGACACTTTTGCAAACGCTGTGATAAACTGAATAAATATATCAGTAAAGCACAAGACAGCCATCACATGGAGGTAGTTCTCCACCAACAGTTGAGTATAAGGAGCATTTGACCTTAACTTTAAGGCTTAGCCTGTAAAATCCTGGAAAAGACTTTCATTTAAGTCCTTATAGGTAAGCCTCACTGCTCAGCAGGCATCTTGGTAACGGCCCAGGCAATCCGACCTTTATCTAAAGTGAGCCATAACTGCAACGTCAGTGGTCACCAGGACATAGAAAACAGCGTGTATAGAATCACCAGTCTGACAGAAATTAGCTCAACAGGTTGGTGACTTCGCCCTTAAATAACATTTTTCTGACAGGTGATACTTCTGCTGCCTTTGTGCAGTTTCAACTGCGTGTTTCCCATCCGGCTGTACGATACAGTATTCCAGAGAAAACATGTATTATATCCCGGTGCATAGCATGTCAAATGCCACAAATACCAGCATGCCCTATAACATCCGGTCGCATTTTGCAGAATCCAAGCCAGCTCACTTTTCTGGAAATTCTGACTCACAGTCCTCTGCACAGCAAAAGATTCTTCACATACATCATTGTGTCTCATGTGAGAATTAAAAAGGCTTTAGCTGCCTAAAGCACAGAAAGCACGAGAGATTAACCCTTACATACTGCTCAGCTCAAATCAGACCCGTTTTGACATTTGACAGCAGTGACAAAGACTCTAAACATCATTCTTTTGAAGTTTGAAATTTGATGGCTTTTCCTGAAGTGACTCAAAATACACAAAAACTTACACTGAGGCTGTTTTTTGTGTCAAATTTGACCCGCATATCCATTGACATGGATTTTAGATCTACCAGTGTGGGTTATGTCAAGGAAAATGGAGGTTTAAGGGAATCTTGTTACTGTGAGACTGTATAGGCCAGGGATGTCGAACTCTGGTCCTCGAGGGCCGCAATCCTGCATGTTTTAGATGTGTCCCTCTTCCAACACACCTGATTCAAATGATCAGCTCATCATCAAGCTCTGCAGAAGCCTGGTAACGATCCTGATCATTTGAATCAGGTGTGTTGGAAGAGGGGAAACATCTAGAACTTGCAGGATTGCAGCCCTCGAGGACCAGAGTTCGACACCGCTGGTACAGGCCATGTTTAAGGTGTATTTTTTATTTACATTTATTAATGTGACATGGGCTATTTAGACATTTTAAATAGATCTACAGTTTAAAATTTGGTATAGACACTAACTATGAGGGAATTCTTGAAGGGAATTTATAAAATATGAACAGCAGGTAAAGGTTAAGATGGATGTATCAGCAAAACCTGGAGGCGCAATGTTATGACGAATTTGTACGTCCCAGTTGTGTTAAACTGCATGCAGCGTTATGCTTTTTAAGGGTAGCTGTTGTGTGTTCTCAAAGTGAAATGAAAAAATCTGATATTTAAAATGCAGCCATAGATATCTACTGAGGATTCTTGGAAGCAGTGAGTCTTTTCCTTATAATGTCCTCAGATATATAAAATGTCACCTTTTGTGTGTTGTGTTGCTCGTGTCCAGCTGTTTGCGTTGCTTGAAAAAAAAAAAAGGCTCTATGGTTTGTCCAAATTAAGGGTTGTTGTTAAGAAATGTTGTTTATTAGTTAGAATTTCAAGCACCACTGACATATTTGTATTCGCTGTCTTGTTGTTGAAATAGAAGCGAAATTCTTTGTGATAGAAATCTGAAAGCAAATCAGACGTCTGCCTGACTAGATGCTGCTGAGGCTTAATAAGAACATAGTTTACACAAATGAAGGCTTCCAGTTGGATAATGGCGCTTCCTCAGTAGTTTGAGCCTCGCTTTGTCTTCTACATGTACAGCGTGTCCTGTGCAAACGGCACAAAAGATTTTAAGAGATGTAATTCCCAGTGTGCCGACATCCACACACATGTAGAAGCCTGGGCGGAAGAAAACCAGGACGATCATCATCATTATGCTTTTGACTCACATTTCTGGCATTCGGGGATGGTAGTAACTGAGAAGGAATGGAAAGGGTTGGGTAATTGCATAGCCATACACAACCAGACCTCCTCGTGTGATACGAGAGCAGCTTGAGGAACAGTTGTGGCTTCGCTGCTCTCTGCACTGTAATTGGTGGATTATTCAGGGACTGACCGAGCCACAACAGCCGACGAGATGAACGCGAGATAGAAATGGTTTGGGGTTTTTTTTTTCTCAAGTTCACCAGCTAAGAGCATGTTTGGTGAACCAGCTCTGGCTTCGTTAATGTCAGTGTAATCTGCGATAGGTAAAACTGTTTTTAAAACAATTCTTCAACCCCATAATTGGGTTTAAAGAAGGAAGGAGGGGGGGCACATCTGTTTTCTTGCCAGTATTGTACATATGAGGATAGCAGGCATGTAATTTCATGACACACGAGAGTGAGAGAAAAACAACTCGGCTGCTGCTTCTCGTGCAAATCGCCCAGAGCTGCCTGTAGAAGCTAATGATCGCCTTAATTAAAAAGTGTCTTTTTACAGAGTGCAAATGTCTTGAGCTGCAGGAATGTTGTTTTCATTCTCTGATCCTCTCCGGGCCGCCCTCTCTCTTTCTTTCTTTCCTTTCTTTCCCTCGTTTTTTCCCCCCTCTCCTCTCCCCAGTGGGGTAGTCCCCTAATTCAGGGCAAGAGGTCGGGTTACTGGCTTCCTCTGGCCCGCCTCCATCCTCAAGCCCCGCCCCACTTGTTTACATTCCTCTGCCCTTATTTGGAGATCTCAAGGTCCCCCCCTTGTGTAGAGTGCAAACACTCTCACCTTCTCTGCAGAGAAAGAAAGCAGGGCCAACTTATTCCAACTCTCTTGACTTGCCCCTCGCTGCCATCGGCCGGGGTAAGAGCCATGCATCGCCTGCATCGAGTTTTGCTTCGCTGCAGGTTGTCTCACCTGGCAGGGACAGCAAAGGTAAGAGATTTTTATCCTTGAGACAAATGGGTGGCCAAGAGAGGGCAGGGTTTAGAGAGTGAAGGGAGGCACGATGATGACAGGGCCGACGGAGAAAGATGGCCGGCACGAAGGTTCAGAGGTTAAAAGGCTGCTTTGCACCTTGCTAGGAGGAATGTTGTGAGAGGGATTTGTTGGAAAACTCCCAGTGGGTCTGACCTGCATGGAGCCCTGAGCCGAAGCTGCAGGTTTGTAAGGAGGGGAGGGGGGCTCCAGTCATACATACAGCAGCTTTCTGAGAGGAGGAGGTGGTGGAGGAGGAGGAGGGGGAGCTTTTATCATGCGTGTCTGGTATTCAGATCCTCTGGTCATGGTTTGACTGAAAGGCAAGTACTTAAGGCGGTAGGTTGAGGGAGAAGCGTAGGAGTCATGTTCCAGCTTTCTTTTGTTGAAGCAGAGGGAGAGTGACAGTGAAACAGCAGTTCTTACTTACTTGGCAGCAGCTCCGCTCGCCCGCACTCGGAATCCGTCTCCAAACCCTCATTTTGCAGAAGTTTAGCAAGACAGAACCTGATTTTTTTTCAAATTATTTTTTCACGGTTGTCGTGATTTGACTCTGATTGCAAAATGAGTGACCTTTGCGATTTTTCGTCTACTTCTGAGGATTAAGGAGATTGTTTGGACATATGCTGGGGGTCAAGGGGCAGGCGAGAGGGAGTAGGGTGGCCTAATCACAGCGGGGTGAGGAATGCAGGGGTCAGACGAGATCCACAGCCCGTCTGACTCTCGGAGCAGCGTCCAGGAGACTCTCTTATATAACCTCCTTGCATGAAGAACACGTCTGGCTGCTGCACATGCTGCGCCGCTACTGAACGAGAGCTCTGACAGTTCACCTGGTGGCCCGTTGGGAGGAGATGAATGGAAGGTCTTTTGAAGTAGGCTTGAATTACGACATGAAAAGCAAGGATTTGGTTCTGCTCAGTGTTGCATTTTTTAAATCTGACACATCTAATTAGGTGAGTTGTCTTAATTCAGCAAAGTGACTCACAAGATCTTCTCCCTCACCGTCTTAATGCCCGAGATATTTGTGGTCTGTGTTGTCTGGAATGTTGTCTTGATCAGGTGAGGCGTGACTATATGTGAGCTTCTGAAAGTCGGAGGTCTGTGGAATGACGTGACCGTGCATGTTAACAGAGTCTTGTTTTGTTTCGTGGTCTTGTGCCGTTTGTGTTCGTCTGTGTGAGTCCGTGCCGTCTGTGTGTCTCTTGTGTGTGCCCATACCAGCTGACTGTATGAAGCGCTGCATCTCTTCTATTTTGCAGCGCCACGCTCTCAAGGCCTAAGCCAGGACAAAGCGGCTAACAAGAGGAGCCCCAACGGAGGAGAGGCCACGCTGGGCCGAGGGGCTCGCACCACCTCCGCCACCTCTAGCCCCGACCACAGCGACCACGCCCTCTCCGTCAGCAGCGACTCAGGCCTGTCCAGCACCTCCCTGTGGGCGGACAGACCCACACCTGTGACCACCACCACCACCACCACCGCCAACACCGCTGCTACCGCCGTAAAGGCCAACCAGGGACCCAGCCAGAAGGAAAAGGTGCAGCTGAAGCGCCTCCTCAGTGGTTTCGGCCTCGAGGATCCATCACCGGAGGAGATGGATGATCAGGGCCCTCGGGTGGGCATCCAGCAGACAGTCCCAGCACAGGTGCACATCAACGGAGACCCACAACCCCGAGAGAGGGAAACGGACATCCTCGATGATGAGGTCATTACAGGTCACGATCTGCACAGCGTGGACAGCTTAGGGACCTTATCGTCCTCGTGCCACAAGAGCAGTCAAAACTCCCTGCTGTCAGACGGCTTCGGGAGTCCTGCAGGAGAGGAGCAGCAAAGCCAAAGCCAGCATCACCTCCACCACGCTGCACCTCCTCCCATGGAGGAGTATGAGAGGTCCTACGCTGAGGCCAGAAGGGGCTGTCTGAGCTCCAGGAGCAACTCAGTGGCCTCCTCTAATCCCAGCAGCGCTCCTGTGCCCAAGCAGCACGTCTACCGACAGGGGAGCTACTCCACTCAGTCGTGGGTTCGCCAGCAGCAGATGGTTGCGGCACAGCAGTTCGTCTACATGCCCGAGGACGGAAACGACACAGAGAGGTATCCCGGGAGCAAACAGGGGAGCAGTTTACCCAAAGCAGGCCTGCCCATGGAGCCTCAGGGCCCTTCAAGGGACACGACGGCGCCCCACAAAGAACAGGCGACGATAAACAACAACAACAACAACAAACGGGACGAGGAGTTCAAATCCCTAACCATGGACATCGACAACTCCATCGACCAGCTCAATCAGCTGATCATGGACCTGGACCCCACGTTCGTGCCGGTGTCGAGCCACAGCGGCTCCATCAAGAGGAACGGCAGCGCACACGTCAACGGCTCGGCGGGCAAATGCTCGAACGGCATCGATCTCAGATTCAACAATAATAACGCGGCAACCCTGAAAAACACGCAGCAGACAGGTAAGACAGTCAGACAGTCTGGGTGTGGTGATGGTGGTGATGGTGATGATGATGATGATGGTGCGGCCTGGATGTGTGGTTGTGGAAATAAATGTATGACAGTCTTAATGAAACCAGAGAAACTGTTTACCTAGATACGATAAATAGACACTGCAAATATATGAGTAATAAAATCACCGTGTCAGGAATATGTGAACCTGGAGAGCTTCTCTCCAACAGCAGGAGCTCATCCTCCCCTTCACTACAGAGTTAACTCCACGCCTCCTCTCCCTCTCCCACCTGGCGTGTTTTAGTGGCAGAAATAGCAGGGCTGTTGCCAGGTTTTCAGATGTTTGCAGTATGTTTCTGAGGAAAGAGCGCCGTCCAGACTTGTCTGTATAGCTATCTGAGTACAGGATCAGTATGGTGCATGAAGGGAGGGAGAGCAGCTGTCATTAACCTTTTCTGAACGTTGCTGTCTCTGAGAATGTAGAATATAGATATTTACAAAACCAGACTGTGCAAAGCTGTTGAAGTTTTCTTGTATATCATTTATGTCATCTATTTCTCAAATCTCGTAGATGCTGTTCTATCTTTTCTCATGTAGCGTCACCCTCCATCTGCCCAGACTCATTTCTTTTTGAGCTCGTATCCATGATGCGTTACTAAAATATCTCCTCTGACTGTTGTTGTCAGGTTTCTTGAGCAGAAGTTATGCAACATAATGAACCTCCAGTAGATAACCACGAGTTATTTCCTCTTCGTTCATGTTCAGACCGATCCCGGGACCGTAGTCGGAGGCAAATTCTGCAGAAGAATTCACAATATGTGTTTCTGTAACTGTGCGGCCGCTTCCACCCACGAGCTGTAAAACTCGTCGATGATGGGATCCCATCTGTTTTTGTTTCCTCTGCGGCCCGTGGACGGCGATAAACGTGATTGGAAAAACATCATGTGACAACTTGTGTTTTGATTTCGTGACTATCTGCTGCAGAGATTGTTCTTTTATCAGATCTGGCTCGCAGTCGCACAAGTTTGATGCTGTTTAATAAACATACGTGTTAACTGAAGAATATTTATACGAGGTGCATTTGCACTAAAAAGCCCCGCGAGGTAGAGGAAAATTCAGAAAGCTGTCTGGGTGCATGAATCACACGTGTGGTTGCAGAGGGGAGGAGGAGGAGGTGGGGGCACATATGGGGAGGCCTGAGGAATTTCCAGGAGAGGAACAAGTGAGCCCGTAGGCTACGTGTTTTCCATTCGACTCCAAAGGCATACCTGTCTGCGCATATCCACTACACGGAAGCACCATTCCAAGAAACAAGAGCCAGAAGCTCTACCTTTGCTAATTTGCGAATAATCTGCAAGTGGATTGTTCGCTTTTAATGTAGGTTTTCACTGGTGACAGAAACATGAAGCAAAAAGTTGTTTATGGTTAAAGACGGCTGGTTAGGTTGTTTATGAGGTATTTATCACGAAGGTTCAGAGGAATTCATTCTTGTCCTTTTCTGCTGCTTGCGATGTTTGTGTCCGGCGTGCATGCTGCTCGACACCATCACGCCTTTTTCTTTCGCTTGTCGTGTCATTGCATGTTGCTTTCCGCTCTTTCGCTGACTCATCGCTTTATTAAAAAGGTGAAGAAAAGAAAAACAGGAAGAAGGAAACATTTTACAGTATTTGTGTTTTTAGAATGAAACAAGGGTCGGATAACAGAAATGATCTCCACTGGAAGCTCAACAACAGCCTGCAGGAGAAATGTGGCCCAAAACGAACGTCTTTATACTGTTGAACGTGAATTTAGCACAATAAATGCAATGCGTCTGCATTTGCAGGTGTTGTTTGTTTTGAGATTAGAGTTCCATTTATGAGCTACTTTTCTTTATTGATACTGCTTAAAAAAAAGTACATTCTAGTGTAAGAAGCCTCTTTAAGGTGGTTTGGTGACATGGAATCATCTTTCACAATATACTGTGCTTAACAAATGTATTAAGCATTTCTAAGTCTAATTTGTTTAGAACCGTTTATCTACATAGACCATCCAGCATCATGAAGTGCTTTTATTCACACTCAGCTCTCCACATTTTACCATTTTGGACGGGAAGGACAGATTTCAAACTGAATTCACCTTTTTATACCCAAATCTGAGCATAACCAAGCATCACATTCAACCACTAAAACTAACTTTTCTGTTCATAAACGCAGGTAAATAACTATAATTTGACATCTTAGCCAAGAAAAAATAATCTGCTTTACTGGTATTTTTTTAAAAACAGTACATTTGAAAATTAATGGATAATGACAATAATCATATTTTAACATTAAAACATCATTTGGGTTAAAGAGCTTCTACATACTGGTGTATTAACCATTACAGAAACATACAATATGATTTTGCTAATTACCAATGCTGTTAATTTAGAGCCTGACTTTGGGTGGTGGTTTAATAAATTTGTTAAGCACTTTATATACATACAGAACGTGTGTATTTAGATGTACAGTATGTTTCAATGTATTATACTTTAAAGAAGTTTAGGTAAGAAACCATTAATGATATAAAAACATCACACAAACTACCTCAGTGGAAAACCAAATCTTATTGCACAATGCTGTACGTGTTCTATTTCCTGTCCCTATTGTTGGAGTCACATTAGGTTACAGAGACGATGACGCTGGAAGGACTGGAGAGGATGCTTTTTGTATCATCCGTGCACATTTCTTAGCCAACAGACAGATTAAAAACAATCACGCAGATGTACGTATATAACGAAAGTGGAGCGTGTGCAGAGAAACACTGCCACTGTCTGTGTCGTGGATGCTCAGACTGAAGTGAGTAATGATCCCAGGCATTAGCACTTCTGCACCATTAGCATTCTTCAGAGTTGAGAGGTCGGACGCTCGCTGGGAGGGCTCAAATTAACACCCCGGTGCTGAGTGGCAGCGCTCCTCAGAGTAGTCACAACATTGAACTCCCTCCTCCACCCCACCATAACCATCACCCTCTCGCCCACCAGCCAGACCCCTGGCATTCCTCAGCTGTCCTCTCCAAACATCACTGGAGGCAAACCCTGAGCGACCAATTAACATGCCACCAACTTATTTTTTTCCTTTTTTTTTTTTAAATTCAGCTGAATCACATCATGAGGATGTATAAGATTCCTCACATGTCACAGCAGCTTGATGCAAATGAGGCGTGAAGGAAGCAAGACGAGAAATATAAAAAGTACAATAAGGCTAAAAATAAAGCTCTGGACACCTTTCACATGTGCAGATGAGGCATGATGAATTAACATATGGATATGTGCAGGAATATAAATGATAAAGTGTTAAGAGTAGCTTCGATATTGTGATATACGATAACCACAAAATGCATTTCATTAACACTGTTATATTGCTCAAGCTTTATGCCTTTTGAGTTCACAGACATTTCAATGCATAATATTGGAAATAACACCTTCCTAAAAGCCACCAAAGGTCAAAGCGCTGCTGTTTTTCTGTTCTGTGTTTTTATGCTTTTTTTTTTTAACCTCCTAGGAATCAGTGATGCCCGTAAACCCGTTTAATGACCTCCTTGTTTACCTGTGTGTGTCCAGCTGTCCAGTCCGGTGAGGTGCGAGCAGGCGTCACCAGGAATCTAAGCTGCCAGAGGAGGGACGTGACGGATCATCCAGGCTTCTGTAACTCAGGCTGGGGTGAGACTGAGGAGTACCGGGGCCAGGGCACGTATTCCCCCTGCGTGCCACAGTCACAGGTAAATATAGCACGCATGCACGCTGGATAAAGCTTGCAAATAAATTACATTATTAATGTATGGCTCTGTTCTGTGTGTTGCTAGCTGCAGCATTCCATGTTGTACCGGAGCGACAGCGCCGATTTCAGAGCGCAGGGCCCGGATGTGGACAGTGGAGTGGAGGCCGGCAGCGACATGACTCCACCCACTCCCGCCTTCCCCATCTCCCCTCCAACACCTTACGGTACGCTTTGCTCTGTTGCCCAGGTTTGTTTTCTTCTCATCGCCATTTGGGTTTAATTAAAATCCTCCTCCTTTGTGTTTTTCAGTGAAAAATATGTCAGAATTTACTCACCTGAGGCAAACCTCGCCTCCCAGCGCGCAGTCCTTCGGAGGCTACAGGACAGACCATGGTAGGTTCAGATCTCTGGGCTTGTTCTTATGAGAAGGCAAAACCTCACATGAAAAGTATATTAACATGCTTTTAATCTGAAAGAAGAAAATTATGTTTCATTGTGAACATAACAGCATCTTTAAAGGCTGGACTTGAATGGTAGCCTCTACCATTACTCTATAATTTGACGTTTTTGTTTTTTGACTACACTTTATTTGTAGTTTTTCATTTTTTCATATACATACACACACATAAACACACACACACACACACATACACACACCCTCCACCCACCCACACCAAACAAATAAAAAAAAAAAAATAAACGAACAAACAAAACCTCACTCACACAAACAAGCACACAAAAAAAAACATCATCAAACACACAAAAAAAACAAAAAAAAAAAAAAACACAACACGTAAGAAGAACGACTCGTGTTTTTACAAAATAAAAAAAGAAATCAACCAACAGCAGAAAAAACAGCACCTCATCAAGCCAGCAAATAAAGGAGGGAGATCTAACTGAGAAAAAAGAAGCAGGAACAAAAAGCAACCAACCGACCTCTAACCAAGCCAACGAAAAGGAAGCAAACAGAAAATAAGTTATTTAATTTATTTTTTACATGTCCTCTATTGTTCTTTTATTGTATTTGTGGTTTATTTTTCTTCTCTCAAACAATAAGACGCACTCGTTGACAAAAAAGACACGCATTGAGTGGGTGGTAATTGCCAGAGTCCTCTTTCATGTCTGCCCCGTGTCTGCATGCTTGGATCCACTGTGTCATTACAAGCGGAGCTATTTTGGGTCCCCGCTTTGCTTTTACCTAATAACGGGTGCATTGTTGTCGGTGGAATTTTGAAACACAGGCTTAAAACAAAGACGTCTCATACATGCGAGAGCAGGGGGATTCCTAACCATTCGCAGCCCTGCGTGGTTGGGTTTTGAAGAATGCCTGCGTGGTCATGGCCTGCAGAGAAAACTTTTCTTTTTTTTTTTAAAGACCTATCGATGTTGCTCTTTGGATTAAAACTGAGCTGTTTTTTGTGTGAGGTGGAACACACCCTGGTTGTAACAGAGATGGGAACAGCATTTATATTTATTTATTCTTTTAGCACCATCCTTCCAAACTTCTCTCATGTTGTTGTTGTTTTTATTTTTTGTTGCTGCACAAAATTGCCCAAAAAAATATCACAACTGGTTTCAGATCCGTCCCATCACGATGCACCAAACCATTACTTTCATTTTCGTCCCACGTTGACCTCTCGTTGGACGTGTTTCCATAGAGATCTACAGTATGTCTGAAGGCCCCGGAGCAGATATGTGCCCCTGCTGTGCCTCTTACTACCTCAGACACCCAGGCAAGAATCCCTGCATTCAGTCCTGCCACATCGCCATGGTTACTGTGGGTCAGGAGGCATGGCACAAAAAAACTTTTCTTCCCCCATGAAAGTGTCTCTGTGTACACAGAGGGGAAACGGGGACAAGAAGAAACTCTTTCAGCGTTTGCACCTCTGGTTCCTATAAAAGTAAAAAAAATCTGGCTGTGAAGACGGAGCTGGAACACGAGCCTTTAGATTTGTTGACGTCGGTGACTTCAAACTATGACTGATAGGCTTTTATGGCGGGAGGCTTTTAATTTCCAGCTGCAGTCAAGTTTGATTTGTTGACTGCGTGGGTTGTGGCAGCGGTTATTAGTGATTGGTTTTTATATAGATTGAATAGCCCGGCTCAAAGCCATGCAGACAGCTTTCATTACATTATTGATTGATTGTTGCTGGAAAGAACCCAGAGCTTTTTCCCAGGGGATTTTTTTTTATTTTTTAATGCGTTCTCTCTGGCCATTTATTCTCCATATTATACAGGACTACTTGTTGCAGCAAGTTTGTTTTGGCTTGTGTTGACTTAATAGGTTTGTTTTCTGCAGCTTTTCTCGATATAATTCTCTCTGCGTACGTGTTAGAAGTCAGTCATTTTTACATTAAGCTAAAAAAAAATATATCCTAACTGTGAATATGTCCATGAAGCATGCTTGAAGTGTCTTTTTTATTTTTTGTCTCTCTCGCAGAACCCCGGGGATATCCAGAGATCAGTCATGTTGGAGTGGAGAGTTTGCCAGATTCCTCCATCAACTGCCACAGGACGCTAAGTTCTTCACACTCTGCATCTATTGTTGGGACCATTCAGCAGACAGACAGGTAGAGATCTTTTAAAAAAGCAATATCAGCCATCGTTTACCACCAGAAGGAAAACAGTATTCGTTCTCTACAGGATCGACCATGCTAGCAGGCCTTTCATATTAATTGCAAGCCTTTAATTTGAACGATAACACCAGCAATATGAAGTGTTCATTTATGTTGTCCTTTCTCGTCACTCCAGCTCATCCGTGAGCCAGTCCTGGCCAGAGCACCCGGCCCTGACCCGCCACTCCTCTCTGAGCAGCTACCCGTCTGCCAGGCCGCCGGCGCACCACGCTATGTCACTGGACTACGGCCACCACTCTCCACCCCTGCACCACCCCCACATCCACCCGGCCCCCAATGCCCACAGCTCCCCTCGAAGCAGCCAGCGAAGCCGCATGGCTTGCTACGCTCGCAACCGCAGTCCCGCTCAAAGCTTTGACGAGCAGGATGACTCCGGCCTCGGCTACGGCACAGACTGTCCAAGCATGGGTATTGACAGGGATCTTTTAAGCTCCATGGATGGGCAGAATCAGTTGCAGACGCCCCAGATCCAACCCCCACTTCTGCCTGAGAAGAAGAGGGCGTCAGATGGGGACCATTCGCTGGGAACAGCCTCTCCGGCCCTCAGCGGCTTCTCCAGTCCCCACAGTGGGAGCTCCCTGAGCATTCCTTTCCCCAACGTCTTGCCTGACTTGTCAGCTCAGACACCAGGCACAGCCTCACCTCTGCCAGGTAAGCTAAGGTCTGTTAAAGAAGCTAGTGGCCTCATGGGTGCCACACGGCTTGATTTTATCGTACACTGTTAAATGCTGCTTGTCTTTTCCAGATGTGCTGGCCAGCAAGCAGGTTACTGTAAAATTTGTGCAGGACACATCCAAATTCTGGTACAAGCCAGATATCTCAAGGGATCAAGGTAGGTGTTCAGTCGTCACTTTTGTTCCAGAGTAATGAAGAAGCAAGACATTTTCCCAGTCAGCCTCACCAATCTGTTGTTTCTATTGCTTCAGCTATTTCAGTCTTGAAGGACAAGGAGCCCGGCTGCTTCATTGTGCGAGACAGCCACTCCTTCAGAGGGGCTTACGGTCTGGCTATGAAGGTGGCTACACCGCCTCCGTCAGTTCTCCAGCAGAGCAAAAAAGGTGAGACAGATGTGGTAAACAAAAAAAAACCAGACAGCTCTTTGTTGTAAGCAGTTGGTTCACACAATGCAAAAACGCCTTAACTGTCACTGTGTGCAATTGACCAAAAACGCATCCCGAAATCACGATGCTTCCACCACCATGCTTCAAAAAAGGGTAGATGAAGGACCTCCAGAACAAGATCCAATCATTGCTGGCTCAGTGTCTAGACCTGAACCCTGCTGAAAACCTGTGAAATATCATAAAGAAGAGACTCGCGTTAAGCCTAGCTAATGTACAAGACGCCTATAGCTAGACATGTCCCTTGTATTGAGTTAAAAATAACTCAAATAGACAAAGTTTCCTTTCAAAACAAGGAAAATGACATTACACTTCTTTAGAAAGCACTAGATAATCCACTTATCCTAAAAACAAGCAAAATTTTCAATCCACATGTGAGATTATTCCACTTGGTTCGTGTGATTTAATTTTAAAATCAAACCCAATTTGGTGGATGACTGAAGCCTTGTTGTCTGTTTCTTTGAATGAACAGCAGTAAAAGAAAGAATCGGGGAAGTCCACGTCTTCTGGCTTTCATGGAGAAGACTGATAACACCATCATGTCCTTAGAGTGATGCTAATTTCCTCCTGCTTACAGGCCTAATGCTAAGCTAGGCTAAAACCCCTCTGACTCCTGCTCAGTGCTTTTAATTATCGCGGTTAAGAAGTCAGAGATTGGTCCAGTCGTACGGACGTCCTGGGAATCATGCATAACAGTCCCACACAAAGCCGTCTTCAGTTACAGCCCACTGTACTCGCCTACATGGCTGGAACCTGAGAGTCCCTCTTTCTGTTTGTGTGTGAACTCTCCTGGGCATCATGAAGCTAAACAGACCTCTATTGCCTGATAGTCTTAGATGTGCAGCTAATGTTTCACCCTTTAACAAAAGCTGTGCTGGGTCCATAAGCCTGCTCTGATCCCAGGGCCTTCTTCCTGCAGGCTCCCTGCCCCACATAACTCTCTCCATTACAGAAGTTATATCCCAGGACTGGGGTCAAAACGGGGTATTTGTTTGGTTTGTTTACTGCGTAGTGTGTTGGTTTAGCATATTTAGAAAATAGAGGGAGGGGTTTTTTTTGGAATGAAGACAAAGTCTGGAGAGGAATCTGGCCAAACATTCTCTGGCTACGTTTCAGCGTGAAAACAAAGGCTGATTGAGTGATGATAGAGATTCACACACAGCGTTTTCTTTTTCAAAAACAGGTTCACGACATTAGATCCTGCACAACATGTATCAGAAACCAGTCAGATTATTTGGTGGGTATATTTTCTGACTAGAGCAGCCCACAAGGATGTCCTCCTGCCCGACCCGCCGCTGTGTTCAGCCCTTTCCCCCGCTCACACCTGTGCTTTTGTTTGCCTTCACCCCTGTGCAGTCCAACAGCACCTGTGGTGACATCATGACACAGTCCAATCTCCACATTCTGAGCTTGGGGCAGTGTGACTCCTTATAAGTGTGAAACCCAACCCACCTCAAGGAGCGGCCTTTTCTTAGTCTTTGTGTGAAGACATTCCTCACTTAGACTCCCCTCTGTACCCCCTCAGAGGCACTTCCGCTGAATAATTATCCATTTAACCTCTGAGAGAATGAATGTCGTGATTTAAAATGCTGCGTCGAACTCTTTAAGGCTTTGAAATGATGTGCGGCGCTGAGATAAATGGTTGGAGATGCTGTGCAGGCCGGAGTAAATCTAGCGTGTCAGATGGAGGGCGGTCCACAAACTAGTGCGAGTGATTATTCACCTCTGTGTATCTTGTCTTCTATCTGCTTTCTCTTTCGTAACAGGAGGAGATCTATCCAATGAGTTAGTGCGCCACTTCCTGATCGAGTGCACACAGAAAGGAGTGCGGCTGAAGGGTTGCCCCAATGAGCCTTATTTTGGTGAGTTAAACCTCTTTGGCTTGCAGCAGTGACACCATCTGGCTGTTTGGGTGCATTACAGCAGGAAGCAAGAATGTTTGAACAATACTGCCTTCTATTGGTGTGTAGTGAACTCTACCAGTGTGGGCCACTCAGACTAGTGCACTTATAGCTGAATCCTGTGGTATCGTCCTGCCTCGGTGTCTGTATTCTTGGTTAAATTGGTAGCAACCATCCAATTTAACATTTCCAAACTATCTTAAAGATACATAGGTGATCCATCACATTAACAAGTCGCTCATTCCATTGATCTTACATTCTTTAAATATGTTATTGTACTCTGTGGTCCTTTTTTTCTCTCAATTCATTACATGTTTTTTTCTTTTCTTTTTCTTTTAAAGCAAAACTATTGTGTAAGATTTCGGTAATGATACCAGAAACAGAGGCCGGTGTTGCAACACAGCATTAAATCTGGCTCTAATTTAGATTTCTTATGCTTTTGTTTTACAGGAAGCTTAACTGCGTTGGTCTGCCAGCATTCAATCACTCCCTTGGCTCTGCCTTGTAAACTCATTATACCTGACAGAGGTAAATCTTCACACACACACATCAAATTTAATTTCTTGGAGAAGATTACGGCAAGAGTACAAAATAACCATCACTTAAGTTTTGCAGCTACCCATATTTCTGGCAATTTAGTAATTTTATCTCTTGATGCAGCTGTTATGGTTTCTGCTCGGTAATCTCACTGATGTTTTTCTTCGTCGTAGATCCCCTTGAAGATGTTGTGGAGAATACCTCGCAATCAGTCACTAACTCCGCTGCTGAGCTGCTGAAACAGGGCGCAGGTAATCAGGCCTCTTATGTCACTCGCTACGAATAGACGTTCTGACAAACAGATGACGGGACCGTACACAAACACTGACACAATCCCTCCCCGTGTGCGATTCTGCGACGGTTTTTTGGAAACGAGCCACTATCTTCCCGGGGCCCTGTTATTATGCGCCGCGCCGCTCGATCCGCAGCTGTTTGCACAAATCCAAGCGTTTTGCATGTTTGTTCTGTCGCTGCAGCCTGCAACGTGTGGTACCTGGGCTCCGTGGAGATGGAGTCGCTGACGGGCGTCCAGGCCGTGCAGAAGGCCACCGGCATGACCCTGAACGCCAACCCTCCGCCCACCTCCACCGTGGTCCACTTCAAAGTTTCTTCTCAGGGAATCACCCTCACCGACAACCAGAGGAAGTAAGCGCCACGCAGACATTTACGCCACTCACGCACGCAAAAGAGCCGCTTTTCATAACCTTAATTTTCTCTCTTTAGGCTCTTTTTCAGGAGGCATTACAACGTCAACACAGTAATATTTTGTGCTCTGGATCCTCAAGATAGAAAGTGAGTATTGTTGATTTAATGCTGGAACAGATGCCCACATGCCATTTATGGGTTCGACAGTAGTTATTGTTAGAGAAGCCTGTTATTATTCTAATCAGCTGTTGGGAAACAGAAACAAAAAACCCTGAAAAACAAATGCAAATATCACTGCAACTGCTAATTGTAAATATGCAGATGAAAAAGTAAGCTTTAGCCAACACTATTATCCTTTTTTTTTTTTCACTGCTCATAGGTGGAAAAAAGATGGCTGCCCACCAGCAAAGTAAGTATAATTTTGCACAACCAGAACGCCGTGACTATTTTTAAAGGCACCGTCAGACGGATGACAGTGCTGCTATTAACTCCTGCGCACCACTTTTGCAGAATCTTTGGCTTTGTGGCGAGGAAAACTGGCACTTCCATGGACAACATATGTCACCTGTTTGCGGAGCACGACCCCGAGCAGCCGGCGAGCGCTATCGTCAACTTTGTGTCCAAGGTGATGATTGGCTCGCACAAGAGTAAGTAGGACAGAGCCGGTCGGCCCGGACGGAGGTTTGCTAAGAGTAGAAACGACGAACTGAGCAAAGGACTAAATGTAAGGACTGAAGATGGCGATGGCCTGGATATAAACCCTGGATATTAACTGGATGTTACACACACATGCATAATGAGCACCGGGATGTTCAGTGACGTCTTTTAACAGAAAACTATAAATTCCTTTCTATTCTGTCAGTATACTTTCCACTGTAAGTACTGTAAATTAGACAAGTAAGACAAAAAAAAACACTCATACGAAATGTGGTTTCTACTGGTTTACAACTGTACTGTCTCATTCAGTTCGATATAATCATCATCAACATAACACAAAGGCTGCTTTTCTTATCCACACATAGCATTTTATGGACAAATCAAGAAAAACCCTATGTTGTTGCATGTAATGTTTTTATTTTTTTTGTCTAATATTTTACCAAAACAAACTTCTTTTAAGCTATTAACAAAGTCAAGTTGCAGAAGCACCTCTCTGCTGCGTGAGGAGTTAATGACGTGCTAAAGCAGCACACATGCATAATCTGGACTTTGGTAGCGGCTACATCGCATACAGAGTTATGTTATTTTAATCTATGCAATGTCAAATGTTTTATTTTTTTAAAACCGAGGCCTTTCTGTACATGTGTACGTGGCTCCTTTGAACCTCTTTGAGTATGACCACTCGGGAAGCTGTCGGCGATGTTTTAATGAGCGTGCGTGCGTGAGTTGAAATGAGAGAAATCGTAGAAGAATATTTTAATTAAACCCTAATATATACACTGACTGGACACAGTTGGTTCAAACACATCAGTACTTTGTGTAGGTAGAAGTCGGAGCTGCCATTTTTTATTTTTTTTGGTCCTCTTTTTATCGGACCCACAGCTTCTAAACTTGATGCAGCCTTTCAGTATCAGTAATAAGTTTTCACATTTAAATATTTTAAAACACACACACAGGCTGCTATATTAATAAAACAAAATGCCCTCATTGAGAAAGAAAACCTAGAACAAAGAAAGAGCTCAGTGCTGGAACTGCTCCAGTCAGATCTGACACGCTCTGCCAGTCATCTGTCAATGACGTATACAATCCACTTCCTCTGGGAAACGAAGATAAAGCCGTTCATTTCCCCAGCGGATTGTTTGTTTGCTTTGTATATGAGATGATGATCATAGATTCCTTTTTGTGTGTCTGTGAGAGTGTGTGTGAGTGAGTGTTGGGTAATCATTTTATCCACAGAGGGACTTAAAACCACAACAAAGCTGTTGGTGTTCTCGCATTAATTATGTACACACTCGTTATCATTTCCGTGACTTATTATCTGTATCTCATGCGTATCTCTTCCAATACTGTGCCTACATGTGAACGGTTCATTTGTGTATTGATGCTGCATTGTTTGATGTGTTCTGTAAATAAACGAAATGAAACATTTATTTAACGTTAGTCCGACACGTAACTCTGTTAAATGGTTGTTTGTTGGTTTCTGTGCGGATGGAAGATGTTTAATTCTTTATAACTTAAGAGGCTTCAGTTGGATTTATTTTATTTTGCACAGAGCCGGGTTGGTTTTTAGTCCTCGTTGGGTTAATTAGCTTCAGGTTTAAGGATTGTTAACGTCGATATCTAACAGAGCGAGAAATAATTTCGAAAAACTTTTCTTTTACCGTCATCTTCTCTCCACCTTTTTGTTCCATCTCAGTAAGTTTTTCTTCTATTATTAAAACTGTCTAATTACACAGCGCCTGGCACACTTCTACTGTTTTGTTCCAGCTTTGTCACAGGCCTGACTGAAATATCGAAAGCCAAGACGCTGTGATTTGTACGGTTTCAGATTCCAATCTTAAGAGGAAAATTACAAATCAAATAAAAGATAATTTAAGGTAAACCTTGGAAACTTACTAGAATTTGGAATAAAGTTGCTTCATATGAGTTTCTAATGACAGGATCTGCTTTGTCTCAAGTCTCAGGATGGTTTTTTGAAGCTTCATTGTACATTTTTTACAGCTTTTTCAAGATCTAACAGTAGCCAGTGTCTCACAAAGCAAAGGAGGCGATGTAAAGGGTGGATGGATCGTATCAACCAATGTATTTATTGTAGAGAAATGAACAGCTTCAGTTCAGTTTGCAGCCAGCAGAGGACACTAGCAACATAAAACTTTCAACTTGCACAGGCTGGTTTTGTCCTGTGGCTTAATTTCCTGCTCAAATCTAACTTTTTTTAATTATTATTTATTAATAGCTAATTGCTGCACATCAGTGTGGATCATCTGTTAATGGGACTGAAACACACGAGTGTCGTCCTGACTCTATATCTGACACACATGTCCACCGTCTCGCTGGCGTCGTGTCGTAAAAAAGAGGATTTTTACCTCCTCACAAGCCTGGACAGGTCGCTCTAATGGCGCTGAGGAGGGAATAAAATTGCAGAGCCTAAGAGGGAGGAAAGGTGTAATGGGGGGTAGACCCTCCTTCCTCCTCCTCCCTCCTCCTCCTCACTACTGTCCCTCTGCAGGTGGTGAAAGTGAAGAATTCCCGGGGAGGGCAGGAAGGAAGCGAAGGCCCAGGTGTGGCGACTGCAGAGAGCCCAGAGCCCGTCGTCCTCTGTTATTTAGTGCGGAGTGGCCTTGAAATAAAAGAAGCCGGGGAAAGTCCAGAAAAGCCAGCAACGTTATTAGACTACAGAGGAACCTGTCAGGAGAGACGATATTTCACGCAGGTAATGACAGTGTGTGCGAGCGCGTAAAAGATACGCAGGCTGAACTCGATGCTGCAATAATTCCCCCATCAAGACTGATTTATACCCGTTAATATTTACTATTACCAAGACGGTTCATTATATAGGAGAGCTACTAAAAACTGCCTATTCAAGCAAAACTCAGCGTCCAGCCCTCTTTAGCTGTAATCACTGCAACTCTAATAACATTCCTGACCCGAGAGACCCTGATTAAGCCTGTCACATACACTATGTCAGTCTAAACAAATGCCAGCTTTCCAATAAACTTCACAGATTTACGCCAGCCTCTTGGAGTTTAATTTTGCAGATAATGTGTGTTGAGGGGGGTGAAAGGCCCTGTTTATCAGGCTGACTGAACTCATTCTCATTCCTCGAGCACCCTAGCTCTGCAGCATTTTTATGGCCACTTAATTAGAGGGGCAGGGCTCATCTCTTTCCTCTGAGGCAGAACAAAAGTTGGGGAACAAAAATAGAAAGTGCATTCTGGGATATGGCTGCACAATTTGAGGCCCCTGCTTGGTTTTCAGACACCAGAACCTGAAAACACGCTTTCTGAGAGGAGCTGCGGGCGCTCGTATCGGGCCACGTAGGAGTTCAGTTCAGGTCAGCGTGATGCCCGACACTCTCGGCTCACCGTCCGGATCAAAACTTTGTGTCGACGCTGCAAAACTCAAGAGCGGAGCGTTCTCGGGACTGCGCTAAAAAGTGACCCATTAACCGGAGGGTAGTAATTTTGCAGAGCTCGCGGCTGCCTGGTGTCACCGAAGAGGTCTCAGCAGGTCTCTGAAATGGACGAAGCGAGCAACGGGGTCAAGTGCTTTGCGGTGTGAATTTCTGTGTACAAAATGGTTTGCACAAAGCCGTGAAAACTGACTCGGGTAGACTGTGGTTCCTGACATACCACCGCAGCTCTATCAGATGTACTCAAGTAGCCCTAAACCACCTAATTTAAACCAATTTTAACCCTCATCCTACCAACAGATTTAACATGCAAGGACAGCTGGCAGAATAAGCTCCTGCAAGAAACAAAAAATAGCAGCAAAAATATTAACTTAGTTCTTTCTAAAACAATATTAGCTATGTAATTAATGTCATTTGAATAATAAAAAAAAGGGTTTATTCATAAAAAAAAATTGGAGCAATGCAAAATGTGGGCTGGTTTTGATCTGCTTCTTTTTTTTTTGCCCACAAAAACAACGCTGATGTTGTCCAAAACTATATTATAGAGATATACTCTAGATTCATCACAGCCAAACCATCTCAGAGAAAAACAGAGAAAACCTCCTCAAATCTTTTTCCTTACATATGCCTCCTTTTTTTCTTTTTTCTTTTTGCTTTCGACTCCCTCTGCAGCCTCAAAAAACTGGTTATATTTGTGCTTTTTTTCCCCACACCATGTTCTGGTCATGCTCGGACTGCAGCGTTTTATCGTGAAGTTATGTCTTGCATTTCTGACCATGGATGTCATTTTTATTTTAGGAATAGCATGCATTTTGTGTCGCTGACGGTGCACATGAGGACAAGTTTGTTTTTCTCCTTGAAAGTGACTGACATGAGCGCAGTGAATAGCTCCTGCTATTAAATACCGATGCACTGTTTCTCCGATTAAAAAAAACGATTATGTGAAGTCATTAAAAAGAAAAAAACAAGAAATGGATTGATGGATATGACAAAAAGTATAGTTCTGGGGTCAGTAGGATGAGAGTTCAACACCTTTTCACTGACTTTTCATGCCAAACACAAGCACTTTCACTACTATGTGCACATTTATTCGCCTTCTAAGCATGAAAACTTTCTAAGAACGACCCCACCATCTTTTATTGCAAACCCTGGTAATTTGGGGGAACGAGCTCCTCCATGTTGGGAATCACTTGACTAGAGAAGTGGTCTTTACATTAGAAGTAGTCAGACACATTTATAACTTTTATGCTGACTGCTCAACACCCAGCAGTGATAACTTTCAGTCTTCTACCCCCCCGTCCCCCTTATTTCAGCAACAAACCACAGACCGCCATCACTTATAAAATAAATGTACCATTTTACGGCCCGCATCTGCAAAAGATATTCCCTCCTCGACTGACTGTAATTTTTTTCCTTTGTTTACAAGTGAGTAATGGTGCGTCGGTGTCAGCGGAAAAAAGAAAAAATGATATGTGATGGAGAAAGAGTAAATTACATGTATTGTTGTGTGTTTCATTTGTATTTAAATCATCAGTGCTGTGGATTAGAAAAAGACAAAGACGACCAAAGCGTGAATGAAAAGCATTTTAATGTTTACATCAAAGCATGCTTTAGTGACAAAGTGAATGGAGTGTAGTGGGAAAAATCTGCATGTACACATGTGAGGAAAGGCACCGTACACGCATGTATGGAGACGTGTCCAAATGTCCGATACGAGACGGGGGACAAAGGAAGTGTCTGGGGAGGTGGATGGAGGGGGGGATTCGGGGCCCAAAGTGAGCGGCGCCACATTCAGCCCACTTCCGAGCACTCTGCAATCCGTCAGGCTGAGTGCTGAGAGTTCCTCTCTCTCCGTCCTCCACTCTGCTCAGGCCTAATTACAGCTTTGGACTGCCTCAGGGGCCAAGCCTCCAGAAACGGGGACCATGACAGCTCCACAAACAGACCACTCCAAAAAAAAAAAAAGATTAACCAACCCTGGAATTAGATGAAAGGTGCCCTTTGGCCTCCCAGCCCTTTATTTTGTTCACCATTCCAACCACATCTAATAATCAGATATTTGCTGAAGCCGTGTGAGTGCCAGTCAGAGCAGAATCAAAGGGAAAAGATTATCATATTAATCACAATAGGGACCTTTGCATCCAATTCGTGTGTGATGAGAGTGCCCTCGAAAACCTCTCAGACAGGGGCAATTATGTGAGAGACGGTCATGAGACTATTGGGGGGAAAAGAATAACAGCGAACGTACCAGACTTGTCATGTGATCTGCAGCAGCCTCATTCCTCTCGTACTCCAGCACACCTTCGTACAGTGTGCACCCACACTCTCTCTCTCTCTCCGCCAGCGCAGACACACCGGACCCCCACGGCCGTCCAGAATTCCAAGTAAGAATGGGGAAAGGGTTGGCTGGTGTTTGAGAGTGAGGGGCATGCACACACACACACACACACACGTATACCCTTCTCCTTGGTTAACCCAGACATGTTCTGCAGACCTCCAGCTGATTAAACTATGTGCTTTTCAATCTATGAGCTTTGGAACCTGCTGCAGATTCTTGTGCCTTTCCTCGTCACTACAGTAACACCATCCCCTCCAACTCTGAGCTGCACCCAAACAAAAACAGAGCCAGAGCTGGGGAGGCTATCGGAAGAATGATTGGAGCTGACGTGCATGAAAACAGAACATCCAAGTTGATTTAAATGAGCTGCTAAAACATCAATAATGAAAACTAAACGTGTGTCTCGTCCCCAATAAGTGAAATAAGTTGTTCAAGAAAATCCCTTCATCCAACACCAGACCACATGCAAATTACGTGTTTCTGTTGAACTTTTGTAATAATATTTTCAAGAACTGCGAAGGACCTGATCAGATACCTTTCGTTTCTGCGAAAGAGTTGAACTTGCCATGTTACGATGCGAAATATAAGAATAGACATAATACGAAAAGCAGACTGACAAAAATAACTCACAACTATGCATGAAAACAATCGTGGTTTTAATAAGATTTAAAGATGAAACTGAGAATATGTGTGACTTCCAGAAGCAGGCATTAGGGTTTATATTTAGCAAAGGGCCCCCGTTCAACGGGCTACAGTCTGGCTGCAGGAGCCGATGCAGGCCACTCTCAGAGCTTCAAGTGAGTGTATCTGATTTGCTCAAATCATCTTGAAACAGTGGAAAATTGCTCCGGATTAGGATTTGACAAGCAGTTGCGGTTGGCCAGCGTATCCATTGACAGCAGGTTATGTTAAACACATGTACAGTAATATCCTGTGTGTGCAAACACACATTCTTCACACTCCCTCTTTATTGAGTGGCTGCTCTGCGGGACGACATTCCTCCAGTACATTACTCCTGCTCTCCTCTGCTATGCTGAATATGCACAGGTGGCTGAGAGACCCCCTTCCAAAGAACTATGAGTGGAGGAAAGGGAGGAAAATCAGCAAGCTTTTTTTTCAGCATATGAAACAAATGTTTGGCATTCCACTGAGCGCTGCTCTGCTGTAGACCTGTCTGTTAACAGACGGCTGTACGCCAGGGCTTGTTGGCAACAGATTTGACATTGACTTCCCAGAAATTTCAAAAGCACAGAAGGAACGGTACACCTCAGCTCTGCTGCTGTTATTCTATTGGGGTATTTTGGACATTTTGTGCCAGTGTATTCCCTCGCTCATCTGTAACCAATTAATAGTGGACCTAAAAATGTTTCAGATGTAATTACTCAGGAATTTTCTCACTTACATGTGTGGTATGTGTCCTTATTTTTAAGGTCTGCTTTGTAGCACTGACAAACGAGCAGAACAGGGCCCACTATGTCGCACGTCTAAACAAGTTCAGAGACAAACGCTTTACTGTATGTGTGAGGAGCAGGTACATGAGGGGCGTTTGTTGCATGACAAAAAAAAGTTCACTTATGTTTATGAAATCTCAGTGTTATGCACGAGAATGATTGTATGCAATGATTTTGTGGCTGAACCACTTGGATCTTCTATGTTCTAGACATAAAACTTAATCTTGGATCACTAATATATATTAAGATTATTTACTGACAGCTTAACTTTAATTGTAATGTTTTATCCAACACAGCTTTGTATGGTAGTTAGAGTAGCAGCATGTACTGACAATATGTTAAATCAATATACATAAATACACACATTATAAAGTACATTGTGATGCATTATAATATTAGTAGTATTAATAAATGGATGATTGAGCAGCACTTGATTATTAAATATGACCAAGGTGCCATCCACATGCTGTTTGTTTGTCAACAGAAACACGTCATTTTGTATGTAAAGCACTTTTCCGCAAAGTAACTGTTAATTAGCAGTATATTTCCAGTGAGTAAAAAGTAAAATGTACCACAAAACAGCACTTGAGTAACTCGTGTGCCATCCGGACACCGGTTTAGTTTCTAATATGTCACCTATGGTGGGGCTGCACTGTTGCAGCATACTGTAACTAAGCTTGGAATAATCATCTTATGTATTTACAGGTTATAATCTATGCACTTAGGCCATATACAGGTCATGCCGGGTCATGTGCAGCAGCTTCTTGGGCCACAGATCGGGACACGCATGAAAACACATCCTTCCACCACATTGCACATAAAGTTCCCAACGTCTGAACATCTAAAGTATAGTGTTCCGACCATAGTGTTCTTGCGTGTCAGACATCTTTACAACTTTTTCAACTGTTGCGCTGAACTGATTTAGTGACATTTGTGTAATGCCTGATGCACAAGAACACTATTGGCGCCCCCTGTGGACGGATACGCGCAAAGCAGATGCTTGGATTCCTGCGTTGAGTCTCCAAACTGACACCTGATACACGTTAAATACGTTTCTCTGGAGTTTTCCAACAAGCTGGCAGATTATTTTGTTGATTACGCGTCTAATAGCCTCATTATATTTTGATAATTGAGATTAGAATCACCTAAAATGCTAAAAAGTTGAATAAAAATATTGGTGTATTTATTTTTCTTAGATTGATTTTATGTAAAGAACCACAATACCTAAATATTTTCCCCCAGATGTGCCAAAGCCAGCGTGCTGCCCTGATGTTTTAAAGGAATAACGCAGTGGAGGCACTTCATCAGTTCACCACAAGCTATTCGGGGGTGTGACTTCAGTCATTGGGGTCTATATATTGAGATGTTTTGTCCGTTGGCTTTATGTGAATGAGAGAGAAGCTGCCCAGTGAAAAGTCACCGCAGCAGGACCGTGCGCGCCTCCTCGCCTCCTCATATGCTCTCGTGTGACACAATGGATTCCTGTTTTCGCGCACTTTGTATGACTTTTGTCCTGGCATCGTTCAGCCGGAGGTCAGGTGCGAGCGGACCGGTGATCAGATGCGAGCCGTGTGACGTTGGAGCGCGGCTTTTGTGCAAACCTTTACCCAAAGACTGCGCCGAGAAAGTCCGCGAACCGGGCTGCGGCTGCTGCATGACCTGCGCGCTGAGCTTCGGGCAGCCGTGCGGCGTGTACACAGGGAGATGTGGCTCCGGGCTGACATGTCAACATCAGCCCGGTGAAACGAAACCTCTGCAGGCTCTGCTGGAGGGACGGGGGATCTGTGCAAACGCAACTACCAAGAGACTAACCGTCAGACCGACACCTCCGGTCAATGAACTGCCAGGTAACGCTTCTGTGCGCACCTTGAATCCACATTTCACTCGTGCGCCCTCGCTGAGAGTCACTGGATACGCGTCGATGTGCGGTAGTTACGCACAGAGTTTTAGGTGGATTTATGAGAATCTGGGTCAGTTTTGGGGAGTTTCTAATATTAATGCACAGTCAGTGTACGGTTTGAATCTGATGAGCAATGCTTCTCCAGGACGCACAGTAGAAATCCAGCTGCAAGGAAAGCCACAATCACTGACTGATTTTACCCAATACAGGGGGATGAGATGGGAAGTAGAAGAGGGAGCTTGATTGTGAAAAAGAGAGGTGCCACTCTGTACTAGTTTCATTTTGCACCTCAGAGTAAAGACCTCTCTGAAATCCTTGTCAAAGAGTAGAAAGACTTGTGAATCCTGTCCTACTTGGAGGTAGAGTAACTATTTAGTTTGTGTTCTTGAAGGAAACCAGCTATATAGAAACACTTTTTGGAATTTTGAACTGAAAATCTTCCTCTGACAAAGTCCATGACCCTCAAACTGACCCCTATTTTGCAGAAGAAGTGTGAAACAATACTCTTTGTGTTCAGTTTTGTGCATAAACACACTCTCTCCCCGAACTGTAGCAGAGAACGCTGTGGCTCTAGACGAGGAGCGGAATTCCACCGGCTCAGGTGCTCAGACCTCGTACAGCACCCACAGACCCACTGGACCGCTCAGGCCTCCTCTTCACCCCTTCTTCCCCTCTGCCAAGTCCGAGGTCCTCAGACGGGAGCAGCAGAAGAGAACCCAGAGCTTTAAAATGGAGGATCTCCCGGGACCACTCATCACAGACCAGCAAAACTTCTCTCTAGAAACCAAACAGGAGCCTGAGTATGTAAGTACCACAACCAATATTTTTTCTGTCTTCAGAGCACACTGGAGGAATGTTTTTCTCCTCTTCCTCTGTGTTTTGGTGTTTTTCTCTCCCTGCGGGTGATGAAATGCTTTGGGTAGCGGTGCTGACGGTTGGCAGGGATCGTGAGCAGGAGAATGGCATGGCAGCAAGCGGGCACCATGGCCCTGCGGCTGACCTGGGTCAGGCGGTTGTTTAGCCACAAGGCGTCCGCGTACTGAGAGCCAGCGAATGATGGATTGGCCTATGTGAGTGCCTGTTGGGAAGCCCTGCTGCTATTTTGATCTTCTCTTTGGCCAGAGAAGTGAGCACACTCTAGTAATGGGCTTTGACTGGCTGCTCTGATTAGTGACTGGCGCACTTGGACTTGAGGACAAGCCTTTTGGCTTCATCTTTGAGCTGTTTGAATTCACTTTATCCCCTCGTCCTTTGTGTAACGTGTAAGAGTTCTAAGCAGCTTTGGCAAACTGTTAAGCCTCTACAAGTCAGATGAATTCATTTCTCATCCGCCACCTCTTTCATATTGCAGCCACCATTGTTCAGGTATTAGAGCGGAGCAGTGTGTGATGCAGCGTGAGTCAGCTTTGTTCAAGTGTTTATTCACAAAACCATTAACGTCAAAATCACACTGCCACATGAAACGGCTCGCTCCGTCAGCACCAGTTGCGTTTGTGTTTCCACGGAGTTGCAGTTGCTGAAACAAGAACAGATAACTGACAACGTTGTGTCGCTTCATTTTTAGGGCCCCTGTCGAAGAGAGATCGAGAGCATTCTCAGCAACCTCAAGATTACCAACATCCTCAACCCCAGAGGTTTCCGCATTCCAAACTGTGACAAGAAGGGCTTCTATAAGAAAAAGCAGGTAAAGAAAACTATAATTTGATGTTGACTGTGAGCTACAGTACAGATTTGAGCAGCATCGTTTCATCAACATGGCTCCTTCGAGCATCATTTAATGTTCTGCTTGATGCAAACTTGGTTACAACTTTAAAAAGGAAGTGAGCATTTGCTTTTTTTCAGTTATTAAAGATTAAATGCTGAAGTTTAGTGACTCAAACTTTAGGTCTCCTGCAGCCCAATTACAGATTTGTTGCTGTCCTCCTGTATTCATTGGTAGTTATTAGAGCCTCATCATTGCACCACCAGACCAGTGAGGTAGACCCTAGCCACTGGCTCTGGAAACAGGGACCACAGGGGCCAAACCCCAGCGGGGTTGACGGCTGGGACGATGGCCGTTTAACGGGAACCCTCCCAGGGAGACAGACGTCAAGGTGGCCACCGGCACCCCATGTGCTCGCCCCATAATTGCTGGACTTTTGAGAGGCAGACACAGAAATAGAGTTGCAGCCATCCCCACGCTCGCATGGTTCACCCACGATCGGGTTGTAATAAATGAGTGGTTCTGACGCATTCATATGGAGGCACTTAGGGCTCCCGCGCCACTGCATCACCGAGGCAGCTTTTCTTATTACATAGCAGTCCCTCCTGCTTAATGGAAGTGTTCTCCTTGACCTGCAATCATCTCATAACCAGCCTCACAACGCCAGGCTCATTGTCTTTGTTTATGCAAAAAACGGGCCTCGTGTACCGAGCCCTGAAGGAGCAGCGCACATTTCGAGTCGGTCAATTTGGACAGTTGCATTATTTAAAGCAAAAACTGCTCTTATTACAACACTTATGAACAATAAATGCCTCCCAAAGAAAGGAACCACCCACTTCAAGCACTTTGTGTCTGTAAATTGTGCTTAAGATTTTAATTGCTGTAATAGTTTTTCTATTATACACTTTGTGATACTTTTGCAGCTAAAATTAAATCAGAAATGACACATTTTGGTATCCTAACGATAAGAAATGTGTTTTTTAAAGCGATCACACAAGAGTGACCTACTTCAGCTCAGATCTGCCTCTCAGTCGACTTCCCTTTGAAATATCGAACTAAATGAGGACGTCTTCCCCCCCGATCGGCTTTAGCTCCTCTGTGGAGCAGCAGTACAGTCGCTGCAGCCCTTGAAATGAATGGCTGCATGTTTTACTAGAGTGGAGGTTGACCTTTAGTAAAATTGGCAGTAAAATAACAGCCCTTGGGTAGCTCCACAGACTCTGTAAGTCATTTGTAGTACCCATAATTTGGAGCTGTGGGGTATAATCAGCAACAGATGATTCGTACTGGCCACCAGCTTCTGAAAATAGATCTTGGTTCACAGTTGTTCACAAACGGGACTAAGCAAATATTTTACCAGGTTTCTGTTTACCTTAAAGGTCTCTATATGTGTGTGTAACAGGAGGTAGACCATAAAAGCAGCTCAAAATACCACAGCGTGTTGGATAGCCAAGGCTGTGTCGACTCAGCACAATCTGACCATTAATGCCTCTTAACTATGCTGTTCTACTTCATTGACTAAAGTGGCTCGTTACCCATAATGCTCCATATTCAACTGGATTTGTGCACTCAGCTGTCCCACCTTCCCTCCCCTCCTCCTCCATTTGTCTTCCCTCCCTTCACCTTGTTCCTTCGCTCACTTTCAGTGCCGTCCATCCAAAGGCAGAAAGCGAGGCTTCTGTTGGTGTGTGGACAAATACGGGCAGCCTCTGCCAGGTTTTGATGGGAAGGAGCGAGGAGACGCCCAGTACTACAACTCTGAGAGCCAATAGGAGGCGAGCGGGACTGGGGAGGGGGGGAGGAGGGAGGTTGGGAGTGTGCAAGAAGAATTGTAAACAAATGGAGACACTGAGGATATTGGAAGAGAGGTCAAGAGATGGCTCGGGCCGATATATGGATGTTTGCTATTTCTATCTGTTGCCTGTGGGACCTTTTTTTCTGAGGCAGAGCAAAGGAGAACAGAGGAAAGAGTACCAGGAGGAAAAAAGGCCCGTACATTCTGTACTTTTTACGCGACGGGATGGATTCTTCATAAGCTGTTTGTCTCTGACTCCACCTGGACGTCTTCTGGGGGGAGGCGGAGATGATAAAAGAATTTATCTCAGAGGCCTTTTATTGTTTTTTTTTTTTCTAAGTCTAAAACGCAGAGACACGTCACCAAACAGTGATGCGAGCGCTCCTCATTTACGCACAATTAAATGGCATTGTGTACATGCTTGTGACGTGTAATCATTATTTGTATGCTCGTGATTCGTTATAAAGACATGGCGTGTGGTCGCGACAACCACAAACTGTATGAACGTGTTCCTTCAGAGTAAGCGTGCAGTGCCTTACTATGAACTCCTATTTGTATGAATTTTTATTCCGGTTGCTTCCTCCTGCTCCTCCTCGGGGGAGTTGGATGCGACTGTGCAGCTCAAACTCTACAGTGCATATAAAGTTTGTTTTTCTATTTTTTATGCTGGATCTCAAACCACAGAAATGAGGACGATTCTTTTACTCTGTACTGTGTTTTTTTACTGTTTTGTTGTCACTTTGCATAAGCTGAATATGAGAGATAAAGACGTTTATCTCTGATCTCTGTGTAGCCAGTGATATGTTTCAGCACTTGTCTTGGTTTAAGTAAATATGCTGTTTGCATGTACAATGCAACCCTCAGAGGTTTTATTTTTACTTAATAAAGGCAGTATAAAATTTTTTCAGGTGTCATTTTTTGTTCTGTGTATTTGCAGATAATAGACGCACTAAAGCGAGACCGCATCATGAGTAAATAACATTTTAATGGGATGCACATTCACAGAATCAGTATATATACACCGTTATAATATAACCAATAAAGGAATAGCAGCATTCCTGGCAAATAGCATTCAAACTTTTGTCCGCTGCACAACTTCGGCAACAAACAAAAGCCTAAACACGAGTAAAATGTAATAAATACTAGAACAGAAGCAGGAAAAAAAAGTGTAGCCGAGAAGAGCCCTCAAGAAATCCTCCGCTCAACCTGTGGACCTGCAGAGACTTAGCAGAGGTAGACAAATGCTGAACAACCCATCCCAAACCTCACAGTGGCTTGGATGAGCCCTGATATGTTTGTGCTCGGCCACCGCGCGCATATTTGTGGCCCTTTAAGTATTTCCCCCCAATACCCATTGAGGAAACGCCAAAGGAGATACATTCAGACAATGTCAACAGGTTGAATGAATGGGCGGCTGTGTTGTTACGCACCGTGCACAGCTCTAGTTTTGAATGAATTATATATTTAAAAGAAAAAAAAAGAAAACTCTGAAATGGGCTTGGCAGAGTTGTGGACCTGTGGTTTTGAGCAATGGAGTTATTTAGTCCGAAACACAAATGTATACAGTGTTGCCCTATTTACAATTGGGGGGAAAAAAAGGCAAACATATAAAACATCTAAAAATGACAAATGGTTAATGCCAGTAGGAATATACAAGTAGTGAATAAATAAGTTTGTGATGCATACATCATGTAAATAACATGAGAGGAAATTTCCCTCTCTGGAATACTTTTTTTTTTTGCAAATGGAAGTCAGTTCATCAGGAGAGATGTTACAAAACATGATTGTTTGGGTGTAGAAAGTACGCTCCTGAGTGATAGCAGAGTCCGCCGTTCAGTGAGTGACTTCCTGATGACACTCTGAGTCACCGAGCAGGTCACTCGATCCTGGAAGCTTCTTCCCGTTCCAAGAAGAGACACACCAGCAGCGGGCGGGCGGTCCGACCAGAGATGACTCACACTGAAACAGAAACGGGGACAAAATAAATCACTCGGTGCTTTTTGGGGGGGGTGAATCTTCGTTTTATTTTTCTGACTCCTGAGCGTTCTCACCTGCTTGGCCTTGTAGAAGCCGTGTTTATCGCAGTTGGGGAGGTAGAAAGTTGTGAATTTCTCTCCTAGTTTCTGCTGAGAGTTGGCTATCACCTCCAGCGCTCCGTGCAGCTCGATGTGACAGGGACCCTGGGCGGAAAAAGAAACAGCAAGACCCGCATTTAAAACAAATACACCTCATTGTGGGTTCATCATGGCACAGTTTCAGGTTATTGCTACAGAAAATCCACATTCCCTCAGAGCCAAGTGCTCCCTCTTGTGGTAAAAGTGACACATGACTTTGAATCATGTTTTTTTTTAGTCAGATTGGGTTTTTTTTTCTCACCTGTTGTACCAGTTTGTTGCGGATGGCGTTGACCTTGGCCTTGATACTCTCGTGGCCCTCGGCGCCATCTTGGTGGTCGAAGGGAAGGTTAAGACCCAGGAGGTAGTGCAGGGAGCCGTGGTCCGGGACTCCATCAGCCTCCTCTGTAGAGATTTTAGAAAATGCTTCTTCAGTGTTGAAAATGACACAAGAGAAGTTCAAAATTGAAAAAGTAAAAAACACATATAAAAGGAGCACCCTGAGGTTACATACCTTGGCCCAGGTCTTCAGTGCACACCCCCTGTCCTCTGGTCAGAGCGTGGAGCGGTCTGGCCTCTCCGGGCCTCGGAGAGCAGCGCAGACCTTCCCCACAGTGGGCCGTGTGAACCCCGCAGGAAGCCCCTTTCTCCAGAGCGCAGGCCATGCAGCAGCTGCAGCCGGGCTCCCTCAGCACCTGCTTGCAGTCGGCTGGGATGGCGGGACACTCGTTGAGCTTCTGCTGCGTGCAGGCAGCACAGCGGATGGGCTCGGGCCCCACCACCGGGGACGTCCTCACCGCGGCCAACGCAGCCAGAGCCGCCGCTACCACAAACGTCAGCTTCTCATACAATCCAAGCATCTCCAAGCGTCTTCTGATTCCTGTTGTCTCGTAAAACTGCTCTGTGTGTGTGTGTCTGTAGCTTTTCTTCTGAAGAGATTTCTCCGAACCGGCAGTATTTATATGGGGGATCTGGCCTCCAGAGGGGTTAATGATTGACACGGTGACCACAGAAATAAAATATTTTTGACAGAGCTGCTGTAAACGGTGGATGACCCTGCTTGACGTAGGTCCAGGTTCACAAGGTCTGTCGTCAATATTGACGCTGGAACATCAAGTGATTGCACATGAAAACAACCCTGTTTTTTGGGTGACAAATTCACTGATCTGTGTCTTTACCTTTGAGGTTACATGAGCGCTGCTATTTGAAGAAGATTTTCAATAAAAATAATGAATAACATCCAAAATAAGGATTATCTAACGTCCCTTAGATAATCATAATCTGGCAGGCCGTGAGTTAACTACTGGTCAGTGGAACAACTCTGCTGTTGTTGTTGTTAACCGTTTATCTCGTGAAGTAATGCTGACAGATTGTGCGCTGACACTGTTTTGACACTAAAACCTATTTGTCCTTTTAGTCTTGTTGGTGAAGGTTCCTCTTATCAGGCAGACAGCTAAACAAGATCATTCCCCTTTAGCGTTGCATAACCCTAACATTATGGATCTCTCAAGCTAGAATCCAAACATGTTTGTCCGAAGAAAAGCGGCAGTAATTGGTCGGTTCCTTGGTGTAGTATTTGTCATAACTATCTATGGCAAATGCCAGATTCAGTGACTTAATGTGTGATATACACGGCAGCACCGCTCGGGTTGTGTACATGACATGACCCCAAGCTTTTCATCTTGGGGACGTGTTTGTTTTTTCCAGACAAGAACCGATGAGCTTAACCCCACCGGCTCAAAAGACCCACAAAAAAAAAGTGATTATGAAAGTACCTTTTGGGACACAAGTTTCCATAAACCCAAAGATGTGGATTAGAGGATGGATTTAAAAGATCTTGAATGCTGTTGGTGGTGAGGATCCGGGGTCATAGCGTAACGAGAAACATAATGAGAAATATTTATACATGCATTTGATAGCGAGGTTGTGACTGACTTTAAACTGACCTGATTACTTCTGTCGTCTGCTATTTTGCTTTTACTTTCCAACAGCATTTAAAGGAAATATACTTTTACACCATTTAGTTGAGACTTTGCAGAATGAGCTAAAAAAAAACATCTTAAGAATTATCCTAGGCAAATATAAGCAGTGCACACTGATCAGCCACAACATTATGACCACCTGTCCAGTATTGTCCAGGTCCTGCTTGTGCTACCAAGCCATGGACTCCACAGACATCTGATGGTACCGAGATATTAGCAGTAGATCCTTTAAGTTCTCTAAATTACAAGGTGGGGCCTCCTTGGATCTCACTTGTCTTCAACCACATCCCACAGATCTGGAGAACTCTTTGAACTCTTTGTCATGTTCCTCAAACCATTCCTGAACAATGTTTGCAGTCAGCATTATCCTGCTCCAAACACTGCCAGGAATAAGATTACGTGATCTGCAACAAGTTTAGGTAGCCGGCACAAATAGATCCACACGAATGCCAGAACCAAAGGTTTTCCAGCAGAACATCATCCAGATCGTCACGCGACCACCGGAGGCCTTTCTTCTTCCCACAGTGTTGCCGTCTCTCTTCCCCGGGTGAATGAAACCTCCATCAGCCCGGGCTACCGTCTTCCATCGCTCCACAGTCCACTTCTGACACTCGTGTGCTCGCTGTAGGCGCAGGGGTCAGCGTGGGCCCTCTGACCGGTCACGCAGACCCACATGCAGCGAGGAGCAATGCACCTTTTTATCATAGCAAACATGTGAAATCAGGCCACAGGGGCCAGTCTTCACCCCCCATAGTGCTACAGAGAGCTTTGGGCACCCATGATCCCTGTTGCTGGCTCATTAGTTGCCCCCCTCCTCGGAGCACTTTTTACATTTGGTCTACCAACACTCCTGCTGTTTTGGTCCGTTTTAGGACATCTAGCCATCACATGTTGGTCTAAGTCGCCTGGATCCTTCATGCATCTACTTCGAGAACCACTTTTCCACCTCTCGACATCGATTGTAATGAGACAGGCGCTTTCCTTTAATTGTGAAGGATGTAGTGGCAGCATTAGAAAGTTACAGCTCCATTGCGTCCAGCTATGAAACGAAAATACTTACATGTACTGCAAATACTTCAGCCTACAATATAACATAACAATGACAGGGCAGATTTATTTGCAGAATGAGTACTTCAAAATAGTTTAAATAAATCAGTCGAGTCAGACGTGCAAAACGCTAAAGACGTGTTGCTCCCAGCGAAGATAATCTCATCTCCATTACAACAGAGATAAGAGGATCCCTGTTGCTTCTGGAAAACGCTTGTTGAGAGAGCTTTGGCCCCTGAAACAGCATTCTACACCAACATTCAGATTAGGAACCAAAAAAACTGGTTTCAGGTGACCGGAGCAGGCCTACTGAGGGATTAATGCCAACATGACACAAAAACCACCAACAAAAAAAAACATATTATACCCAGAATAACAGAACTAATGTAGGCATTTGAAAGGCATTGAACTTTTCCAAAGACAGCAGTATGGCTTACTTTACCGTTCGGGTACGTTTGGTTTATTTACTTGTTACTCCAAAAGAAACAAGAACATGCACATGGACTTTACTCTCTGGCAGTACCAACCTGAAATAGGGCATGTTAGCCGTGCTGAGTTTGTTCTACATTCAGTATTCACCGGTGACATCATTTGGCGAGATGAACGTGTGGTGGTGAGCGTTACTCAATAACCAGTTCGTGAGTCGTTGCCTCCTCGATGTTGACCATCAGGTCCACCAGCCACGCTGGAAATGGATCCTGCTTGGAAACAGTTTAGAGGGGAAAAAATGCAGTAATTCACAGTTTTAAAGCTAAAACATCTTTGCTCATAATGAATACTCACAACTAGCGACGACTTCTTTTTTTTCCTTTTCCTCTGAGGTTTAGGCGATGTGCGAGCTGGCCACTGAATCTTGGACAGCTTAAAACAACAGAGCTTCTTTATATTCCATTTCAGGACTGTTTGCAAAAATCTTCAACAGAAATACAAAGTGTTCAGTCATTCCTACCGTCATTCTCAGCTTCCTACTGCTGGACCTCCTCTCAGGTCTTAACCCTGACGTCTCAGCTGATGTGTCTCCGTCGCTTCGGTCTGCAGAACATGTGCTCACATCTGAAACAGAAACGTTCTCCACTTCTTCCTGGTGATTGTGAGCAGATTGTATTTGAGTGGAATTCTCTCTGCTGATGGAAGGAGACAGCCGCCGAGGTCTCATAACTCTCAGCAGAGCATCATCTTCTTCTTCTTCTTCTTCTTCTACTAGTTCCTCCTCGGTCTCTGCTCCTACATGAAACTGAAAATACTCCCATCCTGTTAAGTTTTCTTCAGTTTCATCTTCACGCTCCGACTCTTCCTGGATGGGCTCCAGACGTGGTCTCTGTTCGTGGTATTTTGAAATGTAGAACAGAATTAACATAAGGCCCATTTGATGATGAATTGTAGGATTTTTGCTTTACAAAGACAGACCTATAAGGAGCAGAAAACAGAGGTGTCAGACTTACAGTTTGCTGTTTAATGTCCATTTCGCTGGATGACTGAGCTTTCCTGATACAGTTTCAGAAACAAGTGCTGGCTTGTTTCTGATTAGCTGATTATTCAAATCAGGTGTGGATGCTTAACGATTGACCTTTTCCCACATCTGATATTTGGACATGCCACAGCAGGAACAGCACAGCTCATATAAAAGAAAGTAAGCTGAGAAAAAGCTTTCACAATCAAGCTTTTATAACCGGATCCACTCTGGAGAGAAAAAAAAGTGGAAGATCAGGGTCTCTGCTGCTTTTACATGTTTTTAAAAATCTGTCTCTTACATGATAAAAGTCATTAAGGGTGCATCATTTTACAGTTTAAATGATTACAACTGACTCAGGTAAACCTTTGGAGTTACTTACATTAATCTGATGAGTCATGTTGATGTAACACTGCTGTTTGTTGCATCAACCTAATGTTGTGTGTAATTTAAAATAAAAAGTCTACACGAATCGACTTAAAAACTAAACTCAAATTGTACCAACTTAATAAATTCAGCTCTTAAAAACTTAACTTTTCTTCACTATAAGTTTAAGATTTCAGGTCCTGGACTAATTCACACAGTTAAGATGAAATGTTTCGGTACAAAGGACATTTCAAGGTAACATGACCTGAGTTCAAACACACAACTGCTGCAACAGGTTTGTTGTTTACGCAATAATAAAAAGCCAAAAAAAAAAAAACTGCTGAAGAAAATCTAATTAAAGAACTCAGTTTGTTTGTTTGTTTCTTGTTGCTTTAAAAACTTATTTTTATCCCAGCAATTATTAAGTAAGTGTGAATTTAAAATGCATTTTGTTGTTACGAGAAGCTCCAGTTTGTTGGCTGAAGTTGTCAGAAGTCAATAAACTGTGTGTTTTCTGTTTTGTTTGTCTTTAGTAATTAGAAATAAAAATGCAATCAGGTACTATTAATAGAAAGAGTAGAGATGTGTTGATTTGGTACATTTCCAAATAGCGTTACACAATTCCAGGTTAATTATTATAACCTGTGGAGTCTTCAGCAAATCACATACAGTCGTCCTCAAATGTATTCACACCCTTCCATTAAAGAAAAGGCAAAATTCACAATAATCACTCAAATAATTAGAAACTGAAAAAAGTAATAACAAATAAAAATTTGCTAAATTATGATTTAGGGAAATGAGATGTTGCTTTTGAATTGTGGTTCAAAAGAATACTTAAAAAAAAAAACTGTCCCAGACAAATGAGAGCACTTTGCTGATGAGCAGTGAAACCAGAATACCTGTCAACAGGTGCAGAAGTCTGACTGAGAGTTACAGGAAACACCTGATGGCAGTGATTGGCTCAAAGGGTTGTTCAACTAAATATTAGTTTACGGGTCCCATCATGTTTGTTTTT